CCTCGCTGGCTTCGACGCCCTGTGCGGCATAGAACCCGGCAAGTTCTGCCCATCGCCGTCTCTTTCGAAGGGGTGGACGGCTGAAAAGTCGATAACTTTCCCCGGCTCGTTGCGCGACTGCATGGTCCAATGCGAGAGCATGGAAGACTGCGCCGCCTTCAGCTATACCACTGGCGCCGCATCAAACTTTTGCGCGCCATGCGTGACTAAGGACCGATCGGCGCTCCTCGATTGGATGGTCGGGAGCGCTCAGACTAGTCACTACGTCATGTGCGTGCCGCCCCCACAGATGATTGCTGCCGCCCCGCCTGCCGTACGATACCGACGTGCCGTCGTACCGCCGCTCCTACAGTGCCGCGCCCGCCGCGCCGTATGTCCCGCCGTCCGATGTCCTGCCTGCCGCCTGCTGCCGCCGCGCCGCCTTACCGCCGACCCTTATCGTGCCGCGCCGCCTTTACACACACACCTTACTTTCTGCTCGACCGAGTTTGCGCTGATGAGCGAACCGAGCCGCCGGGTGCCCCGCAGCGGCCTCGCTGGGCCAGAACATCGGCCCCGAGTGCTCCGCAGCAGCCTTGCTGGGCCAGAACGTCGGCCCGCGAGGTGGGGTGCTAGTCTGGGACCCATACGTGGCAGTTCCCTTGCTCCAAGCGCTTGCGCTTCGGCGGTAGTGATCTGATCACCCGAATACCACGTTCGGATCGCTCCTCATCGCAAACCCTGTCAGCAGTTCACCTACGGGTATGTTCGTAAGAGCTACATACACTGAAAATTCTTCTTTCAAAAAGCGGCTGCTGGTGTCCCGCAGTCCACCGCCCGCCGAGCAGCCGAGCGCCCACCCGCCGAGCTGCTGCCTAGATGAGCCTGTTCGACCGCATCAAGCCCTACCTCTACTACCGCACCGCGCGCCACGTCCGCGTCGACATCTGGCAAGTCGGCCTCACCAACCGGATTCTGCAGACCGGCATTATAGTTGCCTTCATCGCCACCGTCATCACCTCAAACTCGTGGGCGGCTAGCGAGCGGCCGCTTGGCGTGGTGAACGCGTGGGAGGATGGAGGGCGCTACGGCTTCGCGCCGACTCTCAACCGCTCGAGCGAATACTACTCTTACTGCGCCAGCCCGGATCACAACTACGTCTACTCGTCCAACTATGAGTACATCATGCCCGAGTGCCGCAATCTTCAGCCCGAGGAGATCGTCACGAAAGGTATTGGCTCGATATCCTTCACAACGTCCATCATAGAGACGTACGAGTACTCGTGGGAGTGCGGCAACCAGAGTGCGGCGACGCGCGCCAAAGAAGCCAGCTGTGGCGGCGCGGTTGTGGACCGCACGAACGCGGGTCGGCAGTGCAGCTGCGCCACGAGCCAGACGTACTACGTCAAGGGTGTGGAGGAGCTGCAGGTCGCCTTTGAGCACTCGTACTTCACCAGCGGCTCCTCCCGCATCGACCTGAGCGGCGTGTCCAACCACAAGAGCTGCGCCGACACGCAGGGAGACAAGACCTGCGCCGAGCACCCCCTCTCGACCACGATCACCTACCCAAACGGCAC